AACCAATACTAGAACCTATGACTATTAAAGATTCCCTGATTTAATCAAGTACATATTGGTTCCAAATTCTAAGAAAGAATATTATGGTCCAACGTGGTTTGCAACGATGTGGTATAAATCAACATGTCACTTTAAAGATGAAAACCAAGATCCGTTATCTTGTTACATCCACCATTTTTTTTTATAAATAAAATAATAGGTTATTGGCTTTATAGCAGTGAATTTGTTCCATATGATCTAAATAATGCTATTTTGTAATAGAAAGAGATTTTGATGTATATAGTTTATATAGTTATAGTTATGGTTTTTTTTGTATAAAAAAAGGAGGAACTTAAAATAGATTTACAACTAGAGAGATCGAAAGAACAGAATTTCCTTTATCCACTTTTATTTCAGGAGTATATTTATGTCCTTGTTCATGATCGTGCTTTAAGTGGTTTAAAAGGGTCAATTTCTGCTGAAAATATAGTATATAAAAAAAAATTTAGTTTTCAAATTGTGAAACGCTTAATTACTCAAATGTATCAACAGATACAGCTCACTAATTGTTATTATAAAAAAAGTCAAATTTTTAGAACCAGCAAGTTGTTCTATTGTAACCAGTTAGCTGAGGTTTTTGCTTTTATTTTGGAAATTCCGTCTTATTTAAGATTCATATCAGAGCGCAAAAAAAAAAAACTCTTAAAATCTAATAATTTACGTTTACGGTCAATTCATTCCATATTTCCATTTTTTGAAGACAATTTATCACATTTAAATTTGGTATTAGATCTACTAATTCCCTCCCCCCCTCATCTGGAAATCGTGGTTCAAATAATTCGGTATTGGGTCAAAGAGGCTTCTTCTTTACATTTATTACGCTTCTTTCTATATGAGTTTTACAATTTTCAAAATTTGAATACTCCCAATAGGTCCCATTACATTTTGACAAAAAGACCTGAGCGGCTTTTCTTCTTTTTATATAACTCTTATTTATATGAATATGAATCCGTTTTTGTCTTTCTCCGCAACCAGTCTCTTCATTTAAAAGCAATCAGTTTTCGAGCACTTTTGGAAAGGAATCTTTTCTATGGAAAAATCGAATGCCTTTTAGAAGTATTTAATGAGGATTTTTCTGCAAGTATCCGTTTGTTAAAGGCTCCGGATCTTTCAATGCATTATGGTAGGTATAGGGGAAAGTCAATTATGGCATCAAAAGAAACGTTTCTTTTGATATCAAAATGGAACTATTATATTGTAAAATTTTGGGAATCTTATTTTTCTCTTTGGTTCCATACTGGAAGAATAAATAGAAATCAATTATCCATCCATTCTTTTTCATTTATGGATTATCTTTCAAGTATTGTAGTAATCCCTTCAATAATACGAAGTCAAATGTTAAAGAATTCATTTTTAATAAAAAATGCTATTCATCAATTTGATACTGTTGTTCCAATTATTCCTATCCTTAGATCCCTAGCTAAAGCTAAATTTTGTAATGTACTTGGGAATCCCATTAGTAAACCGGGTTGGACCGACTTCTCAGATTCTGAGATTATTAAAAGGTTTGGGCGGATATGTCGAAATTTTATTCATTATTATAGTGGTTCTTCCAAAAAAACCAGTTTGTATCAAATAAAGTATATACTTAGGCTTTCTTGTGCTCGAACTCTAGCTCGGAAACACAAAAGTACTGTACGCGATTTTTTAAAAAGCTTGGGCTCGGAATTTTTAGAAGAATTTTTTACATCGGAAGAACAAATTTTTAATTTCACGTTTTCAAAGGCTTCTTCAAATTTGAGGCGAGTTTATAAAAGGCGGATTTGGTATTTTGATATTGTTTGTATCGAAGAGCATATTAATTTTTAAAAATTCATGCATCTTGTCAAATTCAAATTTTTACCAAATTATAAAATTATTAATAGAGGCAAAAAGTTTTATTTTTCCATTTGATCGTAAATCTTTCTTAAAAAGTCTAATTAAAGGGTAAGCTTAGTTTTAACTTTTTTAAAATTGACTACAGATAATTTATATATAATTTATATATATATATAGGAACGCTTATTCACAAAAATATTAAAAAAAAAATATATTCTTTACTCGAACTAACAAGTTCCAGATTGTAATTATGAGTACCAAATCGTCATACTTAAATTAAATGGAGAAAATTTGCTTGACTTAAAAAAAGGGGGCGGAATCAAATTAGATAGCTCTATTGGTTGACACGAATATCTAAGTCGTGTTATACTGTTGAATAACAAGCCTTTAATTTATTCTATTTTTTTTTATTTCGTGTGCTTGGGAGTCCCTGATTATAAAATCAACCAAGAATTGATCATGACTGCAGTTTTAGAGAGACGCGAAACCCAAAGCTTATGGGGTCGTTTCTGTAATTGGATAACTAGCACTGAAAATCGTCTTTACATTGGATGGTTTGGTGTTTTTGATGATCCCGACTTTATTGACCGCAACTTCTGTATTTATTATTGCCTTCATTGCTGCTCCACCAGTAGATATTGATGGTATTCGTGAACCTGTTTCTGGATCTCTGCTTTACGGAAACAATATTATTTCAGGTGCCATTATTCCAACTTCTGCAGCTATAGGATTACATTTTTACCCAATATGGGAAGCGGCATCCATTGATGAATGGTTATATAATGGGGGGTCCTTATGAACTAATTGTTCTACACTTCTTACTTGGTGTAGCTTCTTATATGGGGCGTGAGTGGGAACTTAGTTTTCGTCTGGGTATGCGCCCTTGGATTGCGGTTGCATACTCCGCTCCGGTTGCAGCTGCTACCGCAGTTTTCTTAATCTATCCAATTGGTCAGGGAAGTTTTTCTGATGGTATGCCCCTAGGAATCTCTGGGACTTTCAATTTCATGATTGTATTTCAGGCTGAGCACAATATTCTTATGCACCCATTTCATATGTTAGGCGTAGCTGGTGTATTTGGCGGTTCCCTATTCAGTGCTATGCATGGTTCCTTGGTAACTTCTAGTTTGATCAGGGAAACCACAGAAAATGAATCGGCTAATGAAGGTTACCGATTCGGCCAAGAGGAAGAAACGTATAATATAGTAGCCGCTCATGGTTATTTTGGACGATTAATTTTCCAATATGCTAGTTTCAATAATTCTCGTTCATTACACTTCTTTTTAGCTGCTTGGCCTGTAGTAGGTATTTGGTTCACTGCTTTAGGTATCAGCACTATGGCATTCAATCTAAATGGTTTCAATTTTAATCAATCCGTAGTTGATAGCCAGGGCCGGGTAATTAATACTTGGGCTGATATAATTAATCGTGCTAACCTTGGTATGGAAGTTATGCATGAACGTAATGCTCACAATTTCCCTCTAGACCTAGCTGCTATCCAAGTTATAGCTACAAATGGCTAGAGACTTCGTCTCTTAGTATATAGATAGAGAATCTATTTAAAATAGAATAAAGGAGCAATTCCGCCTTCTTGTCTAGAACAAGAAATCGGTTATTGCTCCTTTATTGATTCCTTTTTGAAAATAACATAGTTTAGTCGGGGGCGGATGTAGCCAAGTGGATTAAGGCGGTGGATTGTGAATCCACTATGCGCGGGTTCAATTCCCGTCGTTCGCCCATCACTCGAATTATCGTTTCGATAAATTCTATAAATGGGTGAAATATATGAGTGAAAGTAAATAACATGCCGCTATGGTGAAATTGGTAGACACGCTGCTCTTAGGAAGCAGTGCTAGCGCATCTCGGTTCGAGTCCGAGTAGCGGCATAAAAAATAAGAGTAATCTTTTGTTCTTTTTCATTTTTTTCTTATCTAATTCGGAGTTAAAAATCTTATTTTTTTTTTATTTTTATGATAGTTTCAACCTTAGAACATATACTAACTAATATTTCACTTTCAATAATACTCGTTTCTATTTTAATTAAAATTTATTTGAAAATCTTTTTTGTAGATGAAAACATAAAACTTTCTAATTCATCAGAAAAGTGCATTTTCATAACTTTTTTATGTATAACAGGATTATTAGCTACTCATTGGATTTCGTCGGGCCATTTCCCACTAAGTGATTTATCGGAATCTTTGCTTTTTCTTTCCTGGAGTTTTGCTCTTATTAATAGCCTTTCCTATTTAAAAAAAAATACAAAATTATTAAGTACAATAATAAGCCCAATCAATTTTTGTATCCAGGCTTTTGCTACTTCGGGTCTTTTCACAGAAATTAAAAAATCTTCAATATTAGTCCCCGCTCTTCAATCTGAGTGGTTAATAATGCACGTAAGTATGATGATAGTGGGTTACGCAGCTCTTATATGTGGCTCCTTATTATCAGTAGCACTTATGGTCATTACCTTTAGAAAAAATGAAAATATTTTTAAAATGAATTATATTTTTTCGGCTAAAAATTTTTATAAGATTCAATTAAGTAAAGAATTGGATTATTGGAGTTATCGAGTTATTAGTTTAGGGTTTATCTTTTTAACCATAGGAATACTTTCGGGGGCTTTGTGGGCGAACCAAGCGTGGGGATCTTATTGGAGTTGGGATCCTAAAGAGACTTGGGCTTTTATTACTTGGATAGTGTTTTCAATTTATCTACATACTCGAAGAAATAGAACTTTCGAAGGTGCTACTTCGGCAATTGTGGCATCTATAGGTTTTCTTCTTATTTGGATATGTTATTTTGGAGTCAATTTAATTGGATTAGGTCTACATACTTATGGTTCATTTTCGCGAACATAAAAAAAGACATTAATTTTTTACTTCGTGAAAAGCTAAAAATTTGTGAAACCCGTGCTCTCAAATAAAAATATTTCCTATTTGAGAGCACGGGTGTTCAATAAAAATAGAATGAATTCAAATATACTTTTCTGGACCAGATCAATAAGCGAGACCCATACTGCGAGTTGTTTCATGCCATAAATAAACTCGAACACTCAAGAAATCTGTTGGGCAGGCGGATTCACATCTTTTACAGCCTACACAGTCTTCTGTTCTCGGAGCAGAAGCAATTTGTTTAGCCTTACATCCGTCCCATGGTATCATTTCTAAAACATCGGTGGGGCAGGCTCGGACACATTGAGTACATCCTATACATGTATCATAAATCTTTACAGAATGTGCCATTGGACGAATAAATTTATAAACTTTATGAATTATCGATATAGTATCCTCCAAATATTATTTTTATCCAATATAAAATTATAAGATACTTGGTTTTTAGATACTATATGACTCAATGAATTCTCAGAAGGATTCTAATCAATAGATTTCTGGATTGGTTTTGAAAATAAAAAAAAATTATTTTATGTTTTAATATTATCATTTTTTTATAACTACGCAAACTACCTACAAACTACCTAATAGGGTAAATAAGGATTCTTTTTTTAATTAACTCAATCTATTGTTTTAAAGTTTTAAATAAATACTCCCTTCAAATTTATACAGTAAGAATCAATAGACAAAAGGGACATGATGTCTTTCTATTCACTACCCCAAGCTATTCTTTTTTAATTGTTTCAGTAACCATATTGTTGTTCTAAATTTACCTCTATAATAGGTTTGAAAAGCTATGCAACTTCAAAATGAATGAGTTTTTGTCTCTCTAATCTCCAATTTATCAATTAATTCTTTATAGCGGAATTTATTTTTTTTTTGATAAATAAGCTAAAAGTCGTTGTCGTTTCCCCAAAATTTTACGTAAACCTTTTTGAGATAAATAGTCTTTTTTGTGCAATTTCAAGTGGGAAGTAAGCCGGTGTATTCTATTGGTGAAATTCCATACTTGAAATTCAACGGAACCTCTGTTTTGTAAGTTTTTTTATCATAAACTAAATGAACTCCCTTCATTGATATATAATATGCATTTAAAATAATTTTTTATAATTAAGTTCTAGATTCATTTCATAGATATGAAATAATTGATTAGTAACTAAAACGAACGAACAAAAAATAAAGAAAAAAAGGATAATATTATTTACTTTTATTCTATATTATAGAATAAATCAACTTGACAGAAATGAGTCCAATGTTTTCTTATTTTTTTTGTAAAAAAAACTTTGAAACTTACCCGTTAAAAGAGATTTTGCTAATGAAAGAGCTTTTAATCTTACCTCAATAGTCTTTCTTTTCCAAATGTTCTTACGAATACGCTTTTTGGCTTTCGAAATACGTTTTTTTGGAACTGCCATTTCAAATGATTTACAGGTTATCACTGGATGTGAAAGACATTTATTGCTAAAAAGGAATTCTTCTAACTAAGTCTATCAATTCAAATCAAAAGAAAACCCTTTCTTTTAGGGTTCATTAATAAAATCAAAGTGAATTTTTTCAACTTAATATTCTTTTAATGAGGTACAATATATCTATATAGATCTAGATAGATATATGGTATCCTCAATTCAGTTAGATCCAAATTAAAATGAGGTATAAAATAGGGTATGTGTCCATATTGGTTTTCATCTAACCTGCTACCATCTACCCTGCTACAGGGTAGATAGTACTACTATCAATTAAATTTCCACCAATTTAAATTCAATGGTAAATACATATGGATCCTTAACATACTGAAACGACTCCCATTATTAGTATAAAAACCAATAACGATTCATACAAGCTAAATCTTCCAATCGATAATTAGGCCAAAGAAAAAATTCAATTAATTTATTTTGATCCTTAGGCCCAGGGTTGCTTTCTTCCCAAACTTTATTTTTGTTGGAAACTAGAGAATTTGCATCCACGCCATTCCATTTGTGTGAATTGAAACAAATTAGAGTTCTTAATTCTCTACGACGCCTAGATGATAAAATATTTTCAATAAGAAGCGGATCACAATTATTGTTCTCTCGAGCGCGAATTATTCTTTGTTTTACGTCTTCTTTATTAAGAATTTGTTTACTCTTATGAACCAACGAAATAACTATCGTTTCATACATAAGAAATTCTCCATTTGGTTTGATAGACAGCGGAAGGGGGTCGACCAAAAATCCCGTCTTTTTTAAAAATTCTGGAACACTCTCTTTTGAATCTGGAACACTCTCTTTTGAATCTGGAACATTTCTTTTTGAATCTGGAACACTCTCTTTCTGATCCATCTGTGGCATTAGACCCAAATTTAACTTTTCCCTTAGAATCCATGATAGCATCATTTTTTTTTCGATTTATCATTCTAAGCAAGAGACAATAGATTTGGAGATCTTGGAAAAGGCCTTGATTTAAAGTAAAATCCTCTCTAAATTGAAAAAATAAATAGTTTTTCATGAATAACTCTAGTTCTATCTCAGTTTGACTTTTCTTTTCACCTTCAGTTTCACCTTCAGTTTCGCCTTTGGTTTCACCTTCAGGTTTACCTTTGGTTTCACCTTCAGGTTTACCTTTGGTTTCACCTTCAGGTTTACCTTTGGTTTCACCCTGAGTTTCACCTTTGGTTTGACCCTCAGGTTCACTTTTGGTTTGACCCTCGGCTTTATCTTTTTTTTTTACTCTCAGTTTTATCTTTTTTATCTTTCTGAGTTTTACCGGTCTTTTGACTTGTCATTTCATTAAGATTCAAATTTGAAATAAGTGATTCGCTTGGTATAATCCATGGTTTCAGTTTATATAAATTAACAAACCACACAAATTCTGGGAAAACCAAAAGTTCCTCAGCCGTTAATGGACGGTCGAGTATTTCTTCATTCAGTCCCATCCAATCCAATAAAGAATTTCTAGAATGGAGTCGATTCATTTCGGTATTTTTCTGAATCAAAAGAGCAAAAGGATCTTTTTCGTTTTTAAAAATTTGCTCAATTTTCAAAATTTCTTCCATTTTATCAATTAATTGATAATTGTAAGTGAAAATTGGAGTATTTTGAGTATTGTTATAATTACCCGTGATCCAGGACTCAATATTCGCTTTTTTTTTAAGAGAAAAATCAATATTTTTCCAATTCAAATATTTTCTATCGACATCTTTTTTTGGATATGGAATATTTAACCTTTCTATTTTTCCTCTGAAACTAGTGATAGGAATATTTTTCGTTATCGCAAACAAGTTGTTTTGTGACATCTTGTAATGATAAGAAATTGCTTCCCGTTTAGCTCCTGGAGGGGTTCCACTATTTTTTTCATACTGAATGTATTGATATGCTAAAAGATCATATCGATAGCATTTTTTTAAATTATCTTTTGTTTTTTTATTCAAGACTGAGTTAGCATCCTTTTGTTTCCTGTAAGTATTTAATTTTAATTTTTTACCGGAAGTCCTTTTGTCTAAATATTTTTGTTTAGACCTACGATAGCGATTCGCCCTATTTCTCCATTTTTGTTTTTGTGATCTTAAGGCAGACCAGAAATTAGGAGATAAATCGTAGTGAGAATTCCCTTTTAACCAAAATTTCCATTGACTCGTTCTAGGCCGCTTAAGTTGTTTTTTTATTCCTTCAGATGGAAGTATTCCTTGTGTATGAAATGAGTCTTTTATTTTCTTTTTAATCAAGAAAGATGTTCCATTTTGTTGAAGAACAGATATGGAAATTACGTACGTTCAAAAAACCCCTTTCTGATATTTTGTACAATACATATGCTTGTGACAAGTTGGATAAATCACCAAAACTCTCTGAATTTTCCTTATAAAGCTTATTATTATGCGTTTTTATATTTGAATTTGAAAGAGAGTTCATTTTTGTTGATTCCACAAAGACTTTTTGAGTCATTTGGCAAATAGATATAGTATATAAAAAAATACAATTAGATATTCTTTGAATAAATAATTTTATAAAATAATTAAATTTATATATTAATCTATTTTTTTTTTTTTTTCAACATTTGACAAAAATTTTTTGACAAGGCTAATCTCGAACTTTTTTTGTAAGGGTTCATATCAAGTTCTAGAGTGACCCTTTTCTTATCTTCCGTAATTCTTTCTAGTTTTTTTTTTAATTGTACTTGTCCTATGAGTGATAGCCTGCATTTTGTCTATCGGTGAATAATTTTTCCAATCTGTAATTTTTTCAATTTTACTCAAGGGTTGATTCATTATCTGGTTATTTATTAGATCATCTTTTTCATTTTTTATTACACTCGGGTGTATTGTTCTTGTTTCTTTTGAACTTGTGTTTTTTTTTGAAAACTTTTTTAAAAATTTAATTTTTACTTTTACAAATTTGTAAAGTTCCTTAAAAACAGGCTTAAAAAACGAAGGTTTTTGTCGTGGATGACCAAAAGGGTGTTCTGTTTCCCTTCCCCAAACTGTTAAAAAACAAAAGTCATCACGAGAATTTAGCGATTTATATTCGTGCCAAGGTTTGAGACAGAAAGGAAATAAAATTTTGATTTGAATACCTTCTGTCAACCAATTTTCCGGAAATTTTTTTGTCAGCTAACGGAATACCATTATAAGTACACTTCACATGCGTTTCTCTATTCCATCCCTTTAAATCTTCAGACCATTCAGGAGTTTGAAATAGTAGCATACGCCCGATATTTTTACCGATTATGAATGAAGGTAATAGAATCTTTTTTCTGAGAATTGATTGGGTTATTAATAAAAAACCTCTTATTATTTGGGTATATGGAAAAGTCTCCCAGGCTTCCCCTATCTCTAACCGTTCTATTTCCTCTCGTCGTTTTTTTTTCCTTTTTGGTTTCTCTTTTTATTATTATTTTTTTTTCCTCTGTAGATTCTAAAATCCCAAACTCTTTTATGGATGACCATTTTCTAAAAAGCCGTTTCAGTTGAGCCAGGTATGGTAGAGAAAAAAAGGTTTTTTTCCTCATCCTGTCAAAAAAAAGAGGGGAATGCGCATTTGCTTTAAAAAGTCCCTCAATAACTATTTTACGTCTTTGAGTTCGCATAGAGTCTTTTATTAAGCCTTGGCGAAAATCAGATTGGTGCGGATATCGTAATAAAAAAAGCTTATTATCCTCATCTTCCTTTTTCTTTTTAATATTTTTATCTTTCTCATTATCGTCGGATTTTATAGCTTGAATATTTGTATCTTTTGTATTCTTATCTTTGTTTGTAGTCTTATCTTTGAGAGTCTTAGGTT